GGGGTGTAAATGGACATGAACCGAACCCTATAAGCATATAGATACTGACCGAATAGGTACATTTTGATTAGTGTAGCATTGTGAGAGGACTTGAGTAGCTTAGTGGCTAAGGTGCTTGCCTCCTAATTCCATTGTTCTGGGTTCGACTCCTGTGACAATATTACTTTTTTTGTGACAACTAAAAACAACTCCACTCCCTAAGCCTCATAAAAAGGCTGTTGATAAAAGTATAACTTTACTGTATTTCATTTATTTAAGAACCCCTTATGAATATCAGCTGATCGTATGATACGTTGGAAGGGTCATCCTATATAAATATGGTTAAAAAAGGAATGGTAATTTAAGTTTACAACATAAAAAATATCTTACCAATTATATTTGGAACATACAGATAAATAGTCCTGCAATTCGAAACATTACCACTCAGCTCACGTTTAGCCTCACCCTCATCAGACATTATTAGGTTATAGCGTCTTAACAAAACTTGAAAAGAATTAAAGGAAAGTTTAATGGTACATATAGTAGGCGTTTTTGTTGACAGGGGTGGGGGGGGGGATTACTTGACGAAAAAAAAAGTGGGCGTGGTCGCTCAAATCTCTTGAAAGCAGAGATCCCAAATTTGAAAACCAAAAAATAGGGAGATTTTTTCATGAAGCGATCACCTCCTGTAGCGACGCGCTGTGACACCTTACGACGTGCTGTGCAACATGAAAGTATTACACAAAATGAAGAAAACAAACAAATTTCATTAATTTGTTTACTTTTATTTAACAATTTTACATTTGTTTACATATTGCAGTTGGCCTATATAAATTTATAAATATTATTATTTATTTAGAATTTTGCTAGTAAAGCATTCTTGGCAGCAGTCAACAAGGCTTTGCTTGGTTCATTGGCATATTAGAGGCTATGGCTGAGATTTACTACATCTCTTCAAAGAACATAGAATTCTAGCAAGGTAACTGCAACTTGCAAGATACACACGTTTGCTGAAAAATTAAAAAATAAATATATATTTTAATTTAGTTAGTAAATCATACTACATGTTTTAAGCATTTATATATGTCTAGCCTATACTAATTCGTACATAATGCCATGAAAAAAACATTAAATCCTGCCTCGCTAGGCTCCATCTGTACGTGCGTAACTAGGCCTAAGGCCGCAGAGTCACGACCACCACTACACACAGACGCCCACTCAACACAACACACATACCCTGCAGTGCAGATAGAGCCTAAGCCTACATGTATTTCGGGATTGATATTAAAATAAACTTCATTTTTCGGAAGACTACTTAGTACCAAAACCTACTAACTATGATTTTTTTAGTATTGTTATTAAAGAACTGAAGCTTACTTGAAAGAAAAAGTATTTTTTATGCACCGATTCTACAAAGTTCCAAATCTTCGCGGCGAAAAAAACTTGGGGCATCCATGATCCATTGCATGTGATTTCTAATTTCGTTAATTTGTTGAAATTTATTTACTCAATCAATCAATCAATCAATCACTTTATTGAACAACGCTTTTTGATCAGCGGCAACACGTCATATGACGGTGCGTTCTATTAACTATATATAGACAACATACATAGTAATAACACTTAACTAAACAAAATGATAACAAAATATAATACAGTTTGAATACTTGAAAGTAGGAAAACTCAGTACTAAATTAAATAAGCAATTAGATTGATACTATCAATCCAGTTGCTCATTTAATTTTGTTTTTAGGCATGAAAAAATTAATCTTAACTAACAATAATAATTACATACAGCATACAGAGCAAATTAATTTGATCTGTTCGAATATCTAAATAAATCCGTATAAAAGGTAAGAGTTTGAAAAAATACTGTAGGGGCGATAATTAATACAGTAAGAAGATACAGTATA